CCATGAAAGGAGGAACCTGGTGGACAAGACATGGTTAATCTTTACTTCAGAAAGGCTTTCAACACTGTCTCCCATGACATCTTTATGGATGAAATGAAAGTATTGACTAAATAAATGGCAGCAAGATGAACTGAAAACTGTCCAGACTGTCAGACTCAATGGCTTGTGGTCAGCAACTCCAGGCAAAGACTAGCCAGAACAAACAGAAGATTAACAAGATCATTTTCTAAAGGGAAACAGTGAGTATAAAAAAAAAAAGCACCAGGAATGCTAAGTTACACAGATTTTAGTCATGTTTAGTATACCTCAGCATCTTCAACTCTATTGCACGTCAGACTCACTGATAAGAAAGTTATCCCTGTATCCAAAATATGCTGGTGCTTTTGAATTGTGTGGACACCAGCTACAAAATACGGATGGAGGCAAGGGAAGGGTGGATGAGGGCGGTGTCAAAAGAGCAGCCAAAATAGGCAAAGTCTCACTAGGAAGGCCTGCAATCACTTAAATTTCAATATTTAGCTGCCTTCTCCCACCTCCCTAGAACATTTAATACAAAATGCCAGATACCTAACAGCAACAGACCAAGGACAAATGTATTGCTTTGCAAGTGTCAGGGGTGTATGAGGGAGGGAAATGGTATTTTACAAGCACAGATGATTGTTAAGGGTACCCTATAAAGTTTTAAAACAGGAAGATTTTGCATACAATAGCAAGGAAAGCTTCCTTACTAAGCTTTATGAGCAGTAATTCTCATCCATCAGGAATAGAAGTTTTGCAATACAGCACTGGGTGGTGGAAAAAAAAAAAAAAAAAGCTATAAAGTCACATCAAAAGAAGAAAAAGCCTTCCCATGCCTTCTGAACTTTGAGAGGCACACAGACTGCTATTCTGAATTAACAACACTAACATTTTATCAACTAAAAATTACTAATTCTGTGTTCTTTTATTGGTATGAGCACCTCTTCTAAACATAAATTACAACCAAAGACACAGCAGATATGAAAAACTAACTTTTAAGTTACAACCGCTGTATTGAATTCAGTGAATGCAATACTCCTGGGTAAGAACCAGAATCTTGGGTAAGTTTTTCTAAGATCCCTTAAGAAAAAAACAGTTTAACTAAAGGTAAACTACCTCTAAGGAAACAGGAAATGCAGGTCTCCTTGCTGTCTCCCTAGGCAGCACACGCAGGCATTCTGTCAGGAGTTATAGAGAATCACAGAAAGGCCAGGGTTGGAAGGGACCTCAAGGATCATGAAGTTCCAACCCCTGCCACATGCAGGGCCACCAACTTTCCCATTTAATACCAGACCAGGCTGCCCAGGGCCCCATCCAACCTGGCCTTGAACACCTCCAGGGATGGGGCATCCACAGCCTCTCTGGGCAGCCTGTTCCAGCACCTCACCACTCTCTCTGTAAAGAACTTCTCCCTGACATCCAACCTAAATCTTCCCTCCCTCAACTTAAAACCATTTCCCCTGAAGTTCTGAAGGGAACTGCTTACTATCCATAGCAGTTCAGATTTATATATAAAACTGCAGCACAAATCAAAAGGCTGCAACTACACAGCTGGTAGAGAAAATTATGCATTTTCTCCCTTTAAACAAAGACACTGACAACAGTTCTCCACTAACGTTACTGAGCTCATTCTCAGCTGTGTGAATAATTGCTGCAGAATTTATTACTCCCTGTAACAAATGTGAACATTTTAGAAGTTCTGCATATTGTCAATTAGTCAGTTCTTGCCACTAAGCTTCAGCTGGCTTTTCCTCAAACAATGTTTAGTTTTCCATCTTTTAACATACAAAGTAGCCTTGCATTTTTTTTTTCCTTCCTATGGTCTGAAAAGCAACACTGCATTTCAAGTTGCTATGCTCAGATTTATCACAGCTGATGTCTATGTAGGATAAGGAAGATGTAGCTGCACAGCACAGCATTAAACACCCACCTCATATCTGGCAGCTAAGAGGAAAGGCAGCAGCAGGTTGTTTCGAGGCAGTGTTTCTCTGAAAGGTGCCAGGAGATTAATGTGGTTTAACTGAAGGGGTAACTAACAGGCTTTCTGCAGGAAGGAACACACTAACAAGAGATGAAATACAGAAGCATTTTTATTTCAGGCTGAGCAACATTTAAGCAGCGTTGAAGATGTATCATCTCATTTCTTTCTTTTCTGGCCCTAAACAAACACATGGAACTAAAACTAGTTCCAAAACCATTTTATATCTCAAGGTAACAAAGGTATCATACACACGCAGCCAAACTATGCCACACATTAAAAATATGCCACATGTTAAAAAAAAAACAACACACAAAAGCATCATATGGACTTCAAACATACTGAATATCTGAAATACACAATCAAAGGATATTCACTCCTATTAATTATTACCTCATGCTAGGAGAACAACACTTAACTCACAAGAGTTAACTCTGAAGGAGATGGTCTTCCAGGACAGAACATCTCTATTCAAGATCCTATTTCATATTTCTGACTGTAAACACAATATATATTTTTCTCACTATTCTCTAGCTATCTGGTAGTTCTTTAATACAATTTTTTGGTTGTCACTATTTCTCAATTCTAGCAATGAATGCTTATTTGCACTACGGGATCAGGAACAAAGTGCTGGGCTGAAGAACTGTCTGCTGAATCACTTTAATAGTAGAATCATAGAATCCTATGAGTTGGAAGGGACCTTTAAAGGTCATCTAGTCCAACTCCCCTGCAACAAACAGCAACATCTACACCTGTTTCAAATTCAGAAGGGAACAACATCCAGGAACATCCAGTTGGTTTTAATCCCAACAGCACTAATAGATTAAAAGCATTTACCAACAGAAAACTGGCCTTTCATTCCATCAGGCACGCTGTGAGCATGCTCACATTCAAGGATAGCTTCACATACACACAGGAGCACTTGGATCTGTCTGGCTGTTAAATGATGGTATTTTAACACATTGCCTTCCAAGGCCCTACTGGTTTACATGCCAGAAACTCTACAATCATATCCAGGGACCCAATTTACAGGCAGTGAAACATCCAAGTTACCTACTGACTTCAAAGTAGTGATACAGCTTAATGCAGGGTAACTCCCTAGTAATGATTTAATGATTGGATTAGTAGCCCATCAACTAATGCATTCAGCTGCACACAGTCATTTCTACAAGAAGATAGCTATAAAAGCAAAGTGAAAACGAAGTTTTCTGGATGTCTTTGGTACACCACTGACCACAATGAGTTTATATGCAACACAACCTCAAGCACAACATTATAATGAAGTGTATTTCACGTGTTCTCCTGGAAAGTATTCAAACACTGCAAACCCCTCCAATGTATTGTGATACAAAGTTTGAGCACGGAAAAAAAAAAGTAGGAGGAAGAAGTGGAGCATTTCTAGTGACATCTATTGTCCACTGTTAAAAGTGGCACCCAGGACAAAGTTCTGCAAAACTTGAAATAAGCAAGAATGAGTTCTGATGACTGAACATCAATTAAAGCTTTCCACCTAAAGGCAGAACCTCATCTTTAATGTAACCACACTTCATCTTTCATCTTATTTCTCCAGCCCCTTTCTGTTGAGTTTTAATCCCATCATCCAGTGTGCTTGCAGCCCTTTTTTATACTGCTGTCACTTGTAGATTGAATAAGCACACTAAGTCCATCATCACGGCCATTAATGAAGCCATTGTAACGCCACAGGACAAGTCAGGCCTTTGTGGGATTCCCTTCCATACACTCTATTCTTCTGACCATACTTTAAGCACGTTTTAAAACAACTTTCCTTAATTTGCTTATCTTTGAATAAGTCAAATCCCTGCTACAGTCAAATTCTGGCATACAGCCTTTCTAGCCTATATGAAGCCTCCTTATCTTGTGGCAGAAACGAAGTTATCATTTCAGAATCTCGGGCAGTTATTTGCCCTTTATGAGTGTTCAATGCTAAGTACAATTAGGACATCATCCCCCCCCCTCCCCCCCCCTTCATAAATTGAAAAGAATTATCTCATTGTGACTCAGACTCACAGCATCAGACAAAATCTTCAAGTCCCAAATGAAAACTGAAAAATAAGATCTGCTGTCTTCCCACAAACCTGACCAAACACCAGACAGTTGTTCTTCCAAGATACCCCACCAGTAATCACCTATTTGACAACTGCACTCTAAAATAATTTTACTGTTGAAAATAAACAACTTGTTCCCCATTTAAAGTTCTCTTCACTGCTTCAAGCAAGCACAATTCTGTCCCAGAACAGAAAAAGCTCCCATGGAAAGACTGCACAACACATCAGCTGTCAAGCTTTTAACTGAAACAGCCACTGGATTCAAATGGGAACCAACTACTTCCAGAGCAGATTCAGGATGACTGCAAAGAGCTTCATTTCACAAATTCACTTATCCAACCAAAGCCACTTTGTGGATAGGTGTGAAACGTACTTTAGGAAGAAGACAGAAGAAAGGACCCATAAGGAAAGTCACAAAGGCAGAGTAAGCATCAAAGGCAGCAGGTTTGATAATACCCAATGCAAAACTTGCTCAGCTTTTACTCTAAGTGAACCGTGATGATGACTCCAGAGCAGCTTTGTTAACGCAGAAATTACAAACAAATCAAGAACCCACACTCTCCAAGCCATAAACTTCCCATCTCCTTGCAGGCTGTCCCTCTGATTCATCACCAGTATTTCTGCTTACCTGTCTTCTGACAGCTTTATCACACACTCTGCTCTTTTAAACACACAAGTGATATAATTCATATTTTACAATAGCATCAATTTGTATTGGTTTCCTCCTCCTCTTGTCAAAATCCATCGTTTAAATATAAAAAGGTCTGTACATCAACAGGCTTTGTTCTGACCCCAGCATTACCCCAGGTGCCCACATGATGAAGTATCACGACAGTGCCAGGAAGAACCCAGGCTCTGGTTATATAAAAACGTTACTGTATTGCAAGCAAGTTCTGCTTGCTGTCAGATCAAGGCATAAAGGAAAGAAGCAGACTTACCTGCTGGCAGAGAATGTCTTGAAATTTCTGTAACAATAAAGAAATGCATTTAGAAGGAAAAACAGCTCTAAAACCAGGTTAGCCTAATCACTTTTCTACAAGGCTGCATTTGCTGAATAAAGCACATTACCTGAGGCAATTTGCTAACTGATAGGTATGTCACGTGTAAATTAACACCGGTTAACTTGTCTCATTCTGTTTATTATCAAGATTAAGTTTTTGCCCACCTAACTGAAGGGTAAAGATTACAGCACTAATGAGGGCAGTTATTACAGCAGTGCAAACATACAAATTCAAGTCGAAGAGATTTCACTATCACCTCTACAGTTCCAGAGTTAAGTGTCAGGGTTGTCAGCCTCTGCATACAAAGATGTTATTGTTTTTTATCTTTATGCTTAACCCTTGAGAGAGAAGACCAAGTTTGGAACACAAGAAGCAATGCTAGAAGAGGTGGATCTCTATCACAGAGAGGCACAACATAGCTGCTGAACATTTTTGTAATAAGTAACAAGGATGCCTTCAGCAGCAATTGACTTCACAAAAACCACTGCCTGAGAGTCTAAATAGATCATATCAGAAAACTTACACCCTCAAGAAGAATAAACATGAGTGTAAACACAACAGATCATCATGTCCATTCTATTCCTTCTGCCTGATTTTCATACACCTGTCAACTCAGTACATGGGAACCTAACTGGGATGGAAGGTGCCAATCAGGCTTCAAAAAGGAAGCTGAAATGCACACAGAATGAGACCACAGAAGTTAGAAGTTAATGAGGTCAAGGACTGGGGATTAACATCAGAGTTAATGAAACCTGAAATTAATACAAATAGGGGCAAAAAAAAAGTAGTAGAATGAATAATATAACCGAACAGAGCCTAAGAAAAAGGGTCCGCGTAGTTCCGTGCTTAAAAGGGGACAACAAGACTGAGTAATGAACCCCTGTATTGGGTATAAAAGCCATGCAGAAACTGAACTTTATCCACAGATGCAGCAACTGGGATGAATGGTAAGATTATCAGAGCAGGTGGTCACTGTTCTGACACTTACTGGGGAAAAATAACAAGGCTTAATTCTAACCCTGCTCTCAACTTCAACTTTCATTCTCTGAGAAAATAAAGAACCAAAGTTAAAATACTTACAGTGCAAACTAAAAACAGCAAGAGGACACCCAAAAGAGCAGAGGAAACATCACATGCTACATTCTGGCAGAACACAGCATGCTGCATTTCAAAGATGCTCAACGTGCCGCCTACTTATGAACAAAACTAGCTTATGTGGTAAGGAATGCCTTCAGACAGGAGAAACCCTGTCAGGAAGGAGCTCTGTTGTGTGCTGGAAGGAGAAGTCCCAAGCTGCCTCGCGCAAAAGCGTCTGCATAGAGTGCATGTTGGTGTACCCTGAGCAGAGCTTTCTTCTGGCAGGAGACATGTTCAAGCTACCGTTAAATTGCAACATTAAATTAATCCACAGATGTGTTGCATCTTGCAACCTTCTACACATAGATTTGATCCTCTTCCCACACATATTTCAAGAAATCAGACTGAATTCCTGCTCGTCCCTACAGAGGATGAACCACCCTAGGGTGCTAGAGTGAAAAACTAGAATCACAGAATGGCCTGGGTTGAAAAGGACCACAATGATCATCCAGTTTCAACCCCCTGCTATCTGCAGGGTCGCCAACCACCAGACCAGGCTGCCCAGAGCCACATCCAGCCTGGCCTTGAATGCCTCCAGGGATGGGGCACCCACAGCCTCCTTGGGCAACCTGTTCCAGTGTGTCACCACCCTCTGAGTGAAAAACTTCCTCCTAATATCTGACCTAAACCTCCCCTGTCTCAGTTTAAGACCATTCTCCCTCGTCCTATCACTGTCCACCCTTGTAGACAGAATCAAACTGCAGATTTCATTCACTGCTTGGATTTCAAACCTTATTTCATTTTAATTTTTCTACAGTGATGGGAGCAATCTCTAAATTCCTCTAAAAAAAAGAAAACACCAAAATTTTGATATACTATGAAAAACTAAAAGCTGCATTAACATTTCCTTCGATCCCAAGGACCACAGTGGGACAAAGCCAAAGGAACCTACAAGATCAGCACTGTTACTATAATTAAGTCAACAACTGTAATGATTTAGTACTTCCACGTTATGCTGCAAAATAACTCTGTAAGTCCATTAACTGGAGAGATGATGCACCTCTGGGAGGAGTATGCCTCCTGCAAATGCACATTCCTCTAATACAACCAAGTACAAGAGGCTGTTTTCCAAGATTAGTTGACACATGCGAGTTAAAAACAGTTGGAGAAAAACTGAAAACCTGAAGGCCACATCAGTCAACTGAAAATTGCATAAATGCACTTAACAAGGTATTTGCATCATATTTTTCAAGTATCTCCATTAAGTATTACCATTAAGTCCACTATAGGCTAATGCATCTTAACTCTGGAAAACACCAATTACTACAAAAATATTAACTCATAGTAGCATAAAATGAAAAGCAGATACTATCACAAATACAAACAAAAGTACCAGTTCTATAGGGTTTTTCGTGTCTGTTTGTACATTTAACACAACATTAAGTGAGTATTTGTTATGTCATGTATTTTTACTAGTCACAGAGCCCCACATTTTGGAGGTTAGCTTCATGACCCTTCCTACCTTTGGGTCTATCCTACCTCTCCAGTGCATTTTCACCTTCGCTGACTTGAAACTTTTTAAGCTTGTTCTCCAAGTATGGTTTTTCATTCAACATCTAACACTGAAAGCAGATTAGTGGCTTCTGGCAACATCTTAAATACTTCATTCACTGAGAAGTAAACTGAGACCACGCATTTAGCTAGCTATTAATTTCACACTGCTTTTACACACTTGCAGACTTTGCAATGCAATGTGGTTTTAAATACCCTTTTTTAGTCTCTGGTCTCCCAGCTTTCCCCCATTTCTCACTCAGCGTAGCAGAGCTCACGCAGCCACATTTAGCACTTCCAAAAGTGCAAGGCCGTCTCTGCAGCACTCCCAAAACACAACACAGCCGCACACACCAATGCTGCCAGGACAGTCCCTCTGCTGCAGTACAGCTCACAAGAGCGTGAGCATTTTGGGACACCTCCTGCTGGGAACATGAGCAAACAAACTTTGCACGTTGCCAGGAAAGGTAAAATAGTCCAAGTAAAGCTGGTTTTAATCCTAGTCAGACAGCAGGACGATGACGTAGATGGCCTCAAGAGGTCACTTTCAATCAGTGCTTCCTTCACAGTATACACAGATGACCAAAATAGAACAGGAAAGAAGCTGTAACAATGTAGAGGTACAACAGAACAAGTTCATTACCCAAAAGTCTTGCTAAGCAAATGAGTTACCTACATGAAGCCACTGAGAAGCAGAAAGGAATTGACTGAAAGAAGGAATACTGTGATTACTTCCATACGCACTGAGATCACAGCATATTCACAGCAGGAATGGCCCCATAAGGATCACTGAGCCCAGCTCAATGGTTTGGGGCAGTGCACTCCTCATGCAGGCTTTGCAGATGCAATCCAAACAGCCTTCTCTATGATATCCAGCACACCAAGACACTCATCTTCCATTAAAATTGAAACTATTTTTATGAAACTATGCATTTATGCATTGCAGACTTTCCTCAAATGTTTTCCTGGAAATGGAGCCACAACTTCACATTCTTCATTCCAAGAGTAACATCTAATCACTGAAAGCAGGGATATTTTGTGAGCCCTGTGTTCTTACCTCACAGTAAGATGAGAGCACGGCTCCGTGGCTGAGGACAGAGGCTCACTGCTTACCCAGGCTGCAGCACTGATCTCCTTCCAGAGCTGTGGTAAGGAGCTGACCACATGAAATTTCATCCTGCCTTACTGCAGCAGCAACCGACTCCAACCTAGCAGAGCCCCCTTGAAATCAGTTCAGATATTCAGTTCAGGAACTGATCTCTCATTCCAGCAAAGAATAAAGGCTTGCAGCACAAGGAGCCTCAGACCACAAGCTCTGAGAAGATGAGAAGACGAGAAGACGTGATTTTCCTATTTATCTACCAGTAGCCAATTCATTTAGGAATACAAGCTTTTAGCTTTCGTGGGAATAAGCCTGCACAAAGTTGCCTCAGAGGCTACCTTCCTGCTATGAGAGGATAGATGCTCCTTACTCTTTAATGAAGCTGAGATAGAACTGTCTCTCCTTTCCGCCCAGGAGCAAACAATTAGGCTGAAAACTCACCCTTAAAATAAATTTAGTAAATTATTCTTTGTAAATTGACTTTTGCTGGGAAGCTCAAGAATTTCTCCACAATCGATCCAGCAAAGACCTTGGAGCTCCCATTAATTCATTCTGACAGCATTCTCTCTAAGGAAAAGCCATTAAATACCATTTATAATATGATGAAATTTCCATGCAAGATCTACAGTTACCACTGGTTCATTTCTCTCTATATATATAAATAGAGAGAGAGATATATAGATATTTTCACTTCCTTGTTAGAAGTGCATACCTTATTTCTAACCTCAACTAACCTTCTAATTCAGCATTCTGCAGAGCTGAATGTTAACAGCCCCTCATTATATCATTTCCCATTAAGGCAATTTTAGGTGAACATCACTACAATACAGACAGCCATTTCTCTAAACTTTTGGTCGCCCATATACACCTCAATTTCACTTTTTTTTCCTTTTTTTTTTTTTTTAATTTTAGTAGCTTTTGTGCTTTACAGACACCAGTGCCTGATGCAGTATTCATAAGTTAACCATGACAACACTAAAAATACCCCTTGCTTGCTTCATTTTTTCCCCTATTGACACACTTACTGCATTCGCCTTAGACGCAGTGAATATCCACCATGAACAATCAATTTGTATCTGGTGCTGTCGGTGAAATGGGAAGAGAGAGGACTACAGCACAGATCCCCCATCCACCAAACCTGCCAGCATTCTTTGTCACTTTACCAAATTCACTGTACAAACCCACACATTTTTCGTTTTCAACCCAACTTCATAGGAGATCCAGGCTGCACTGC